TACACTTAAGTTGACGTGTCCGAGCATTCTTTTATAAACTCAAGAAAAAAGGTGCACCATGTATTGTATTTATTGATAGTAAATAGTTGTAGTTTAATTGTTATTTTTTAAAATTGTGATATGACGTGATGCATCTATCTGCCTTACGACGTTTATACATAGCAAATACTTACATGTTGGAGAATTACATCAAAAACTGCATCGTTATCAGCTTGAATAGCTACTTGTAGAGCGGTAAAACCAAGCTTATTTTGGCCGTTCACATTAGCATTTTTGTTCATTAATTTTTCGGCTATTTTTACAGAGTCTTCTAAGTTTGGCGAACAGGCAACTAGGTGGAGAGCTGAATCGTTTTCAATCCTGAAATTACAAATGAAAATGTACCTTAAATTATGCAAAAACAATTAAAAAAAATTTTTTATTGAATTGAACTAGATGATCATTTTAAATGAAATAGAAATCATTAGTACTCGGTACTCGGTAGAGTAGTGATATTTGCCCTTCCTCCACACTAACCGTATATAWAATKCATTTTTGCATATTCTTGTAGAGTGAACCRCACAAATTGCATAATAATTATAACGCAAAATRTTATTTCAAAAAAASACTGGATTAATTCATAACATTAATAGATGTTCTGAYTTATTTTCCTGACTGCGTGYACTTGTTATGYCATTCTTATCTTTCCTGGGTCTCAGWMAAAGTGTGAAGTAAAAATTTTKAACATCGTTTATTTCATTACCTTTCGGCGAGACAACAGCGCCATCATCAGATTTAAAAATTCATTTTTTTTTAAATCAGATTTAAMAGACTCATGATTGGTAAAAATCAACGTTCTTTTAGGWCTTTGCCTTCTTGAAACCTTAAATTTGTCTGATCTGAAATACTTTGACTKWGACCCAGGAAAGATAAGAATATCATAATAATTAATAGATGTTAAWGATTTTTGTTAACGGTATATACTCGTATGRTAAAAAAATGRTACTTGTGTATGGTGGTACAGCAAAACGGTGGTACTTTTCGTGCTTACGGGCATCAAGATAGCTAGTYAATCGTTTGCTACAGTAGCAAGCAAAAAATAGCTCATAGAAATGGGGTTATGAAAACTGTTTGTTAAAATATAGGTTTTTTAAATCTAAAGCATCCATTCAAAATAATTTGATAAGTTTTTAAACCACCATTTACAAAACTAAAATACAAAATAAATATTTTTACGTAATGTGTAACAATGCTACATCAGACTAATAGTACGAAATATAGAGTGATGTGAGTTTTGG